ATAGCTAGTTAATGTAACTTTTTGTTTGAAGTTGTGTTCATAGGACAGTCATTGATATTCATTAATGTTCATGACAGATGTCATGTTAATGACAGTTTTCCATCAATCTTATTAGCACCTCTTCAAATGTATAGTCACTGTTAATGTTTATTGCAGATAATTTAGCTGTAAGTGTTTTATATCTTTAATTTCCAGTTTACCAAACAAGTCCTGAAACTGATACCCAAGCTGTCTGATGGATCTGATGCCTCTGTGAGTTGCATTGAAAGCAGCGGTGAGGAATATAAACCATCAAAAGCTTCAGAAAGCAGTTCAGAGGGATCTTGTGACCTTCCAAGTGAGGTTCCATCAGTGAAGAAGAGGAAGACGTTGCCCAGTACTGACACACACCTGGGAAACATGAAGAAGACAAAGACATCACAGAGGACTGACAGAAGAAAGTATTCGCCCTCTTCTGAAGAGAACCTGGGAAATGTGTCGGTACTGAAGATACAAAAAAAGAAAAATGGTGGCAGAGTTTACAGTAAAAGGCATTACTGTCTGTACTGTACTATGCAGTGCCATAAAATGGCAAGGCACTTAATCCGCAAACACGGCAGTGAACCAGCTGTGGCACAAGCAGTCTCTTTTCCTTTGAAATCAAAGGAAAGAAAATTGCACTTTGACCTCATTAGAAACAAAGGAAACCGTGCTCATAATAACGACGTCCTAAAAGCTGGTAGTGGGACACTGATCCCAAGTCAGCAAACTGGGAATCCAGCGAACGCCAGCGACTACATGCACTGCATCAACTGTGAGGCTTTGCTGAAAAGAAAATCACTCTGGAGGCACATGTCCAGGTGCAAGCTTTCAAGAAAATGCAGCACTACAAAGCCAGGCAAAAGTCGGATCCAATCACTGTGTGCCTATGCACAGCCCGTCCCTGATGGTACCAGCAGGAAGGTTTGGGAGCTGGTAAGTGATATGCACCAAGATGAAGTCACAAGCATCATCAGAGAGGAGAAAAGCATTTTGAGACTTGGAGAACATATGTACGCAAAGCATGGACATGACAAGACCAAACATGAGTACATTAGACAGAAAATGAGAGAAATAGGACGACTGATTAAGCAGTCACGGAGAGCTGGCAGACTGAAACATATTGAGGACTTCTATGTACCTTCCAATTTCAACTTTGTGGTGGAAGCAGTGAAGGATGTGGCTGGTTTTGATGATGACAAGAACATCTATAAGACTCCATCCTTGGCTCTAAAACTGGGTCATAGTCTCAAGAAAATAGCAGATATCCTGCAGTGTGAAGCGCAGATGGCAGAGTCTGTCGATGAGGACTTTCTGAAGAACCTGGAGAGGAGCCGGTGTCTGTATGAGAAGAAATGGAACGTGTGTGTGTCATCACGTGCACTACAGACTCTAGAGGAGGGGAAGTGGAATACGCCTCAGCTCCTCCCATTCACTGAGGATGTGAAGAACATGCACACGTATGTTGATAAATGCAGACAAGAATACCAAAGCAGACTCAGGGATGATCCCGATAAGAAGAACTGGTCCAAGCTGGCCAGTTTGACTCTTTGTGAAGTCATCCTGTTTAATCGCAGGCGCGAGGGTGAGGTGTCAAAGATGCCGTTGAGTGCCTTCACCCTCAGAGACACTTCAGATGTGCACTCAGATTTAGCAGTTGGACTTTCTGAGTTTGAGCAAAAGCTTTGCCAGCATTTTCAACGCATTGAAATAAAAGGGAAGAGAAACAGGAAAGTTCCCACCCTTCTAACACCTGACATGCTCTCCTCAATGGAAGCCTTGGTTGCACATCGGAGGGCCTGTGGTGTGCCTGATGAGAACCCCTTTTTCTTCTCCAGACCTGGAGCAGAGACTCACTTCAGGGGATCAGATGCCATCAGACAGATTGCAAGGGAATGTGGGGCCAAGCATCCTGAAACTCTGTCCTCAACCAAGCTGAGAAAGCATGTGTCCACACTTTCCACCGTCCTGAACCTGAAAGATAATGAGATGGACGTACTGGCAAATTTTCTTGGCCATGACATCCGGGTTCATAGGCAGTACTACAGACTACCTGAAGGAACGCTGCAGTTAGCTAAAGTCAGCAAAGTGCTCATAGCTCTGGAGCAAGGCCGACTGTCAGACTTTAAAGGAATGAGCCTGGACCAGATCCAGATTGATCCCAATGGTAAAGCAAATACATTTATGTCATATATATTTTTATTTCAGACTAGATGTTTCTTTCATGTCATATTTGGTTCTGTTATTCCTCTCTTTCAGAGCAAGTGCTGGAAACAATGGACAGTGATCTCTCAGAGGCAGAGAAGGACTCGTCTTTCTGCTCCTCAGCATCAGGTAGGTTACATGTTAGATGTGTAACGCCTGGGCTCCACAGGCTGCGTAGCGATGCATAACGTCAGCGGCGCAACATGACAGATTTTATGAGGCTACACAAAGTCCGTCAGTGCAGCGAGCTGCTGTCGCCAGCTGTGGAGATTGTGAGATTTCAAGTAGGATAGTTCAAAAATGGGCAAGTTAAAACATGTGCTATGTTACAGTAAGACACTTCTTTTAATCATTTTGATACATTGGACTAGTTTTCAACACAGTTTCATGTAATTTTTACCTGTTGGAGCCATGTAGCAGTGCAATGTGCGACGAAAAAAGAAAAGCGTCATAAAAGCGATCTGCTATGGGCGCAGTGCAACCATCGCATTGTGCACGGAGCAGGTGGAGCTGTGGCATAACTGTAACTGGCTGAATGAGTGTTGAGCTCAAACATGACAATTCATTTACTTTGTCTTTTTTTGTCAAAGGATCCTCAAGATCTAAACGACCACCACCAACCACTGATGAGTTTGGTGATGATGTTGCATTCACAGGTATCCCTCAGACTAACCAGACACTATCCTCTCCAGTCTTTACTTGTTTTTATAAACACTGGGATATTAAAAAGATAAAGATTTATTATTTATTATTTCAACAGGAACTTCAACACCTAAGAGAAGAAAGGAAACTGAGTCTGACAGTGATGATCCAGAAACAGGTAACTCACTAAATACACTCCTGCTATTACCTGCATGTACAAAAAAGATGGAATTAGGAGAGTAATGTGCTTGCACTTTCATATTTACCAAATTTACACCAACTGCTTTTTGATTTTATAAATACAATACTGTTGAAATTAGGCTTTTAACAAGACGTGTGTGGAGCTGTGGTCTGCCTCAGCTGACTGGAGTCTCTTAACTTAAGTGTCAAGTTGCTGCATGAAGCAGCTCGACACTTAAGCTAATCTAACATCTCCCAGTATAAAGTAATCGATTACTGTTTCAGTTCAGTTTTATTATTGCATCTCAGTCATATTTACTTATAATATTCTCATTGATTTGAACAGTTTCTGGTTCTTTGATCAGGTTATGTGTGGTCACAGTCAGTGTTCGGACATTACTGTCATCCGACTGCTTTTGGCAGTAAATAGTAATGTAATTAATACTTTACAGTTTAAATAATGCAATCACAATTAGTGAATTTTAAAAACGGCTCTTAGTCATTACTTTTGTCTTGTGTCAAACAGTGGACAGCTGCAGAGGACAGCAGACAAACACACAACACAAACATCATGTGACCTCAGCATGTCAGAATTCAGTTGACGTTGTAAAGTTCACGTCATTTTAGTTGACTGCTGGTCAAACACGAACCTCGTCTCTGCAGTTATAATGTTATATATTTTAAATCATCATGCGACTGAGCTGCTGCTGAAGTTCACACTTTGACTTCCTGGTTTGATTTGTTTTGTGAGGATCTGCACTGGATTCTTGAGAAACTGGATTGAACTGAGCTAATTTGGGGTGGTGGGGAAAACAAAATGGCTCCTTCACTGAGTGGACTGAACTCAGAGTAACACAAAACATTACTTTCCCTATGCAGTAATTTGTAAAGTAATTCAGTTCCTCTATTCTATTCTTCTGATAGGACCTCCAAGATCCAACAGAGGAAGAGGCCAGCAGACCTCTGATGAGCCCAGCAGTAATGAACCTGTGACCACAGGAGTCCCAGAGACGCCCTCTGATGTCCACCTGCCCGGTTTGTCCATTACCTTTTTTGTCCATTAACCTCATATGATGCTTTTATTTAAACAATGCTGCCAATCTATTGTATCAATAAACTCATCACTCATTATTTCATCAGGATCCTCGGGATCTGAGGAGACACAGCGACCTGAGTCTGACAGAGGTGACCCTAAAGCAGGTATTTCACACACTAATGCACTCCTGGCTGTTTGACAGTTACCTGTTTCTACAATAGGCTACAATAGGGACTAATTACAAGAACTATGTGCTGCCATTTTAATATTCTTGTTTATAGCTGTATTAGTATTTAATCCTTTATTACAGTTTACTCACTCATTAACTTGTGTAATGGAGATATGTGAACTCTGGTCTGAGTGAACTGATGTGGACACAGTTAGACAGGAGAGAGAGTCTCAGTGAGACATGTTATCTCTCACTGATACTTCCTTTCCACTGAACTGGTGCTGGTGTTAGGACTGGCGCTAGAGCCAGTTCTAAACCAGTTCAAATGACGAACCAGTTAAGAACTGTTTGATTTTCCACGAGCTGGGGCTGACCAGAGAGCCACGTCATTATGTCACTCTATACATACTAGCGCAAAATTATTATTATTACTGCCCATTGCACGCATTGCGAGAGAGTGCCGCCGTTGGAGATGAAAACACTATGATTCACCACTTTTTTGAATGCTACAAACAGTGAGCACGCTAGAGGAGATGTCCTCTGCTGAGCAGTGTAGATTTAAAAATGTTGCTCCGAGTGTTTTGGTTGGGTATGTTACCCCCGCCCCTATGCCTGACATAAGCACGTAGCCTCCGACGTAAAGCGGTGCTTTCTCCTCAGACCAGTTCTGAGTTGGTGCTACTGTAGAACCAGTTTTGAGAGCCAGGAGAACCAGTACTCAGGTTGGAAAACCAAAGAACCAGTGCTAACTCAGGCTCTAGCTCCCAACCAGCCATGGAACCAGCTCAGTGGATAAGGGCTGTGAGACTCTCTAACACTTGAACAACTGCAGGTAACATGAGGTGTTTAGAGTCTCAGTGAGAGATAATACCTCTGTGCTCACAGCAGGAGATCACCTGGTTACTAAAGTGTCTTTAAAGTGTACTTTAAATACAGTCACTGGTTGGTGATATTTGTTGTACAGTTATCAGCCAATTATCAGCTCAAACACTTCACTCATTAGCTTTTAATCTTTGACCATCTCACTTTATTCCTGCAATGTGAAATACACATCAGGTTTGGTCAGTCAATACAACAGAGGTTGTTAAAACATTAGCTACTAAGCGCTGTTTACTTTTTTATGAAATGCTTTGAGTTGGTACCAGAATGTCAGTTTTCAGGACATTGTTTGATGAAATTATATTTTTAGATCGCATTAATTTGGCCGATTGGTCACTGAATGATATCTTACATTCTCATCACACCGCTGATTGTCCCTTTTTCTCTTGTCTTTCTTTCTTAGAAACCTCAAAGGAGAAGGAGTTGGTCATTTGCAGAGAGTCGCGCTGTTGGCAAAAAGACACTAATGGCCTCCATTAAATCTGGTAAAGTACCAGGAAAGACTCAGTGTGTTGCCTGTATGATGCTTCACCAGAAGCACTTAAAGGAAGAAGCTGAAAGCAGTTAAGTTCTATGTTTAAAAATCGTATCACTACCATTTCAGCGTGAGAGTGCAAGACGACTTTACTGAATGTGTTCATATGTTCTTAGCACTTTTTTCATACTTGTTGATAATGTTAGTGCTACATTTTGCAACTGTTTTTAATTAGGTTCTACAAATAAACCATACTGTTTTGCACTTTTTTGGTTCACAAAATGTTGAAAAAACATGAATCAGTGTTCAAAAACTCCGAGCTGACATAATCAAATGTCTTGATTTGTACACGAACCCGTTATTTTGTTTAATGTCAGAGGGAAAAAAAATATTTACGTTTAACAGGGTTAAAATCAGAGATTTGGACTCTATTTTGTAGCCTCTTAAAATAAATTGTTTTTTTTGAAAAAAACACTTTTTGTGAAACTATGAGCTTGTTTCGTGTTTCTCTTTGATTACTACGTCTGTGTTTTTCCCACCTGATGCATTTTGAAAGCAACACATAATCTGATAGTCTTCGAGATAATCAGTAAAAAAAGTCATGTTTTGTCCCCTCTTTTGTTAAGCAGGTCCGGTGCTTGTCATACCTGTTTGGCAGATCAAATGACAAACCAGTATTCAAAATTCAAAATCGTTACATTTGCGGCTTGTTTAATCATACGAGGGTAAAAGAGCAGCAATTAACAAAACTTTGGCTGTTGAAAGAATCTTTAAAGTTAGTATGTTGGTGTAAATGGAGAGGATTACATTGTGTGGTTTAGTGTAACAGTGTTGCTGGTGTTATACATATATAATCTTTATTTTGACCCAATATGACCAGGTGAAGCAGTAAGTCTGAATTTCTTAGAGCCCAGGTAAATTATTCCATCCATGTTTATCAAGCTATTTAATCATATGTTTGCCTATTTTTTTATATTTTAGAATTCTAATCTGATCTTTTGAAAAATCGCGGTTTGATGATCCAGTGTTCATGTGATCCTAATGTTGAGGTTTCACTTCATCATTAGTTAGATTTAAATTGCTGTGCATGAGCTGCTGCTGTTAACAGTGGTGGCTGATTGTATGCTAATTAACATAATGTGATGAGTCCCCAGAAGGACCAAAACTCAGGTCTATTTTTTTTTTGGGAGTATTTGATGTTTTCAAGTCATTTTTTGTTCACAAAAATTCTAATTTAATGATTTTTAGCAGTTAAAGACATGGTCTGTAGGACCCTTTCAGAAGGGTGGATCCCTGCAGGCTGTAGCTGGTCATTGGATCCCATGTGGCGCTAAGCAAAAACGGGTTGATGGTTTGTGTGTAGTGTTGTGTGTGTGTGTGGTCGAGTGTGCAAGTGAGTGCGTGTGCGTGGTTGTGGTGCTGTGGTGAGGTGTTGTGTGTGTGTGTGTGTGGAGTGTGTGTACGTTGTAGTGGATTGTGTGTGTGCTGTGTGTGGTGGTGTTGTGTGTGGATGGGTTTGTGTTGTGTGTGGCTGATGTGTGTGTGTGCTGTGGGTGGTGTGTTGTTGTAGTGTGAGTGTGGTGTGTTAGTGTTGCAGACCAAACCTTTTTCGGGCTGGGGTAGTGGTTGCTCTTGGGGAGGGCAGCAGCGGTGGTGCTGGGAATGGGGGAGGAGCTACGGCAGCACTGCAGACACAGCAGGAGGCCCAGAGACAGACACAGGACCAGAGACACGACCAGGTAACTCTGACGGTCGGACACCTGCCGAGACAAACACCCAGAGTGAAGAGTGACGCTGCGGCTGTGACCTCGTCACCTCGTCAGGACCAGAGACGCTGACGAGAGGATCAACCACCGCACTGCACATGGAACATTCTGCTGCTGCACTCATTTACTTTACGAGGGTCTGCAAAACAAACTAACCCCAGTGTTTGTGGTAGAGGCCGAACACTATTTTTGGCTTTCGCTGTAAATTTAATTGAAATTCTTTGGCGGCCGTTGGCAGCTGCTTCTCTCTCAGAGCGCTGTGTATTTAATCCTGGGGTGGAAGCAGAAGCTTCTTCAGACAGAGCAGTTGTGACTGTTTGCTCTCAGTGAAGGTCACTCAGCTGTTTCAGTGCCAATCAATATCTGGGATCACTGAAAGTCATGTTTGCTTGCTCCACATTTATTTGTTACCTTGTGTGCACACGGCCCGCTGACGTCTCTGTGTATCTACTTCCTGTATTCTCTCCCAACTCTACGACCGACTCCTGAACAAACTGTCCACAGGAGGAACGGCAAGTATTCAAATACCAGCCACATTATTCCCATAACTACACTCATCTGTCCACGTGTCTCTGCTCAGCTTCACAGCTCTTCTGTTCAGAACATCCAACAACCCTCTGACTCTGTACAGAGGAGGATCAAGGTCACATGTCGAGTGTAAAGTCAGGATAAAAAAATAATCACATGTGGCTCTAATCCTCCTCCGTTTGGCGTGAGGCTCGATTTGAAAATAAAGTCGGAGGAAAAGGAACTTGTTTGATGAAGAACGTGGTGCCGTCAATAGAGTCACAAATGAAATTGCTAAATTGAACACAGAGCACAAATGATTCGCCGGTTGCATCATGCTGCTCACGGAAGCCGAGGCCATAAACATGAACCCGCCTCCAGTGAGCGAGCGGCAGGTGGCGCGAGCTCTGTGAGCTCTGTGGCGTGTGTGTGCGTCACCTCTCTCTGCAGCTGGCCGACCGCAGCCGTGAGATTTAACATCAGCTTGGTGACGTTCTCCAGCTGGTTCTGCAGCACCTGGATGGAGTCGGTCTGCTTCTGGTCCTGAAGGGAAAACAGTGACAGTGACTCAGCTGTTCAACACTGGCAGGTGTTCACCGCTCTGACGGCCTGAGCTCTGACGCACCTGCTCTTCAGCGATGCGGGACGTGTTCTGCAGTTTGATGATGGTCTTGTTGAACGCTCTCTGCATCTCCTCCATCTGTTTACGGTATCTGAAGAGGACAAATGCAAAACTGCTCATAGCACTGCACTGAGCGACCTGTAGCTGCGACGTCTGACACCTGTTATTACTACATTATAACACGTTTACATGCACACTGATATTAAATATGAGCATACTGAGAATTTGATTCAGATCATGTAAACGCCGTGTTGTGTCGGGAAGGACGTGTCGCTGTTACTCTGGCTGCAGGAGCATCGGGGTCAGTGACCTCGAGTCCTCGCCATGACCAGGATTAATCGTGGAATGATCCGTTTTTGCAGAAGAAGGTAAAAACTATAAAATCACATGTATATATAATTATAATATAAATAATAATCTGAGTGTCCAGATGTTTCACCTCTGGCTGAGCTCCTCCAGGTATCTGCTGGACAGACTCATGTTCATCTCCAGAGCTTTGATCCTGTTGTTCAGCCTCATGAACACGCTCTCCTTCTGGCTGGAGCCGTGCACCGCCGCCCCGTTCAACAGCACGCCGTTCCCGTTCGCCGCCCCGCCGTTATAATCCCCCCCGTTCTGCAGCTCTGCATAGAAGTCTGTGGCTGTCCGCTGGACGTTGCCGTTCCCGTTAGCACTCAACAGGTCCTCGTCCGCCGAGTCGTCCGCCCGGGGGGGCTCTCCGGTCTGAGGGACAGAGTCCGCCTGCTCCCCGTGAGTCTGGGCGCTGCGTCTCTGTGAGTCGCCAGCGTCTGCGCCGGGCTTCGCTGCGTCTGTGTGAGCGTCCGTCGATGGGACAGCTGCTGGCAGGTCAGTGGGGGGGGGGATCAGGTCTTCAGGCCGTGATGCGGTGGGGAGCGGCTGAACGGGCGTCTCCTTGACGGGAGGAACCGCCACACCAGGAGACGCCGTCTCTGAGGACAGGGGGTGTGTGGGGGGGCTGACAGAGAGGGCGGGGGTGGTGCTGCTGGCCTGCTGCGTCTCTGGGATGGAGACTGCTTGAAGGGGGGGGGTGGGGACTGGGTCCAGGGCTGCGTCTTTGATGGGGGGCAGCGGCTTCTCCTCGTGGGTGGGGGTGGGCCGCGTCACAGAGCTGTGGACGTCTGAGAAGCTGTGTGGGGGGGTGATGGAGGTCCTGCTGGGCTCCAGCAGGATGTGCAGGTCTGGAGTGTGAGTGTTGACGTGTGTGTGAGTGACGTACGCCTCGCCCTCCGTCTGGCCCCGGGCAGACACCTCGGGCTCCGGGGCCTTCTCTGTGAGGGGGAGGGCTTCCTGCGGGGGGGTGGGGGCAGGGACAGGGACGTGTGGGGGTGTGCGCGTGAGGACAGGGGTGTTCACGACCAGGTGAGTCTGTGATTGCGCGCTGGTCTGCCTCCGCCTGAGGCTGCGCAGTCTCTCCTTGGCGAGCCGGGCGGAGCACCAGCGGTGGAGCAGCTCCGGCAGAGTGACCACGCAGGACAGAGACAGGGAGGAGAAGGAGGAGAAGGGACAGTACGTCCGGCTCTCCCACTGGTTCCTGTCTGCCTCCCTCCGCGTCTCCTCCTCTCTCTTCTCTTCCTCCTCCTCTCCCTCCTCCTCCATCAGGGTGACAGTCGACTGTCTGGGCTCTTCATCCTCCTCCTCCTCCACCAGAGTGACGATCTGCCTGTCCTCGGGGGAGACGGGTGAGGAGGAGGGAGGAGGTGCGGAGGAGTCACTGGAGACGTTGGAGTCCTCCTGGGGGGCGGGGTGTTCTGGTTCTGCGGGCTCCGGTCTGGAGGAAAGACACAGACGCATTAAGAAGAATGAACAGAAGGCGTTTATTGATCGCTGCGTGATGATCGATCACTGATCGGTTCTTACTCTGCAGAGTCGTGAGTTGTTTCAGGAGGTTTGGCTTTAACTTCTGTGCCGCCCGTCTTTCCATCCCCCTCCGCTGTGGTGTTTCCTTTGGACAGAAACAATGAACAAACTCAGGAGACACAGAGTGATCACCCCCCCGGTGTTACCACTGCACAGGCGCTGCGAGGCTCAGAGCGGAGCCCTCAGCTGCCAAGCCGCTGTCAGAGAGTTAGAACAACACTGAACCGGTCTCGTCCAGTTGGGGCCGAGCGCTCTCTCTGACTCTGTGGCTGCACAGAACCAGCAGTGAAGACATTTCTCAGTTTCTCCTTCGACAACAACTAGAACTGACTTTGTGGATTCCCATTAAAAACAGAACTCTTCATTTTTGTGGCAGTTGATAAAAATAATAAAAAAACAACTTATTTTTGAATGTTTGTTTGGGTTCTTAGCGTTTAGAGAGAGAAGCACAGATCTGAAATCTAAAGAGAAAAAGTGCAAGAAGAACTTGAGGAACTAAGTTCAGTGGGACTTTTTGCTTTAGCTGGACGTGAGTGGGAGAAGCTGAGCCCAGTATTAGCTCAGTGTGGTAAACACAGAGTTCTGCAGAACTCCTCCTGCCAACAGCCAAACAAACATCTGGCTCTGCTGCACATCGACGTTCAGGACATACATGTGCTCACACTTTAGAGAGCGGAGGAGAGTGACCCAGTTTCAGAGGCAGATAATTCAAACAGTGTGTGTGAGGGGGGGGGGGGCTGAACGGAGAGCAGGAAGAGAGGAAGAGTCCTGAGTTCGTCGTCACTACTGAGGGATTAACACATCTACAAACCAGAACTGTCAATCAATCAAAGGAACAGGTGCATCATGGGATCGAACAGTGACTCATGCTAACAGGTATTTGGTGTCGTTGATCTGGAAATGATTGATTGCTCCACATGCAGCAGCCAGTCAGTCTTCATATTGTTCCAAGGTGTGGCGGCTCCGTCACAATGAAAACAACCGTGTGGAGAAGACGTGACGTACAAACAATCATCAAACTAAACTACAGGCATCACAGAGGTGACGGCCGTTCGCCTCACAAACAGCTGTGTACTGTTAACCCTGTATGGACGTGACGATCACGCCATGTAGTGTGACGTGTTTCAGGTCGGACGCTTTACAAACATGAACAGAGACATGGACAATCTCTGCTACTGTCGGATTAGTAGAAATAAAGAAAAACCCTTTTCCTGCTTGGACTCTCCACTCTTACATGTCGCCAGATTGCTGATGTTTTGCTAACAGCTAACGGCTAACAGCTAATGTTACACTATTCACCAGAAATCAGTTCTTCTTCACTGCTCTGAGACAGTAGCTTCCTGTCAGGGCCTCTGTTCTGGAGCAGTGAAGAAGAACTGATTTCTGGGTGTGAAGCTCTAAAGGTTATTAATAAATGGGGGGGTGTCAGCGCTCAGGCCTGTGGACCAGGATCAATACTCTGTGAGTAATGTTCATGTTTCAGCATTTCAGAGTCAGAGGTCGCCGTGGCAACTGGGGGAAAATATACTTTACATTATCACAGAAAATTTAAAGTCGGTATAAAACTAAAAACCAATGAAACGAACGACCTAATGTTTGTCTCCTCACATGACCACGAGGAGAGTCACATGGAGATTTACAGAAGAATATTCATGTGAAGCAGGAAGGAACATAAAGAAGCAGAGTACCTCCTGTTTCTGCTCCGCCCTCCAGCTCCGGCTTTCCACCCAGCACGTTAGCAGCAATGTTGTTTACCATGTTTAAGATGGCATCTAAAGGAAAGACACACACACACCAGTTATTTCCACAGACATGAGGTTCCTGGTTATAAAGAAAAACCCTGCCTGAGGCCACAGGCTCTCTCTCTCTCTCTCTCTCTCTCTCTCTCTCTCTCCCTCCCTCCCTCCACCCCTCTCTCCCTCCCTCCCTCCACATTATTTCCTCTACTTTACTTTTCTGTCCTGAACTTTCTTTTCCAACAAACTTTCCTTCAGTCCACATGTTCTCTTGCTCAGCTCTCCGGCCTAAAAACAGCCCTTGTGTGTAGAGTGTGTAGAGTTTGTGTTACCAATTCAGGAGACAGAGGGGCACCAGTGTGTTTGTGCATGTGAGTGTGCATGTGAGTGTGCATGTGAGTGTGTGCTGTGCATGTGAGTGTGCATGTGAGTGTGTGAGGCCAAGTGGGTCAGATACTGAGGAAACATTCAACCCTCTCTAGGAATGGATCTACATCGTGTCTCTCCTGCACGAGGTCACGAGTCTCTGTTCGTCTGCCACGGCTTTAGTGACATTTATTTTAAAGGTCTGAAGTTTCTGTTGCCACAGAAACAAGTGTTCACTGCTTGGCCCTGTCAAAATAAAAGCCCTGAAAGTAAAAGTCATTAAGTAGTGTGTTTTTAATTATCCCTCATTTATTTATTCAGTATCAGTATCTGTGTTGTTATGGTATAATTATGTACTCTTTGTATGTGAGTGTATATATATATATACATACATGTATATATGTACTTACTGGTTGCTGAGCCAAGCAGGTTTTTAGAGGCCTTGTCCTCTGACGGTTGGTAACCAGGAGGATAATCTGGAGACAGAGGCAATATATTTAAAATTCACAACAAAATGAAATCAGATTCAACATTAAATAAATGTTATTCTTTCATAGAGTTTCACAATAAAATACCAAACAGAAACTCAGCAGGAAGAGAGGCAGCTGACATCAATAACTCAACATGTTGACTAAGACAGAGGACGACTCTCAAAGTATTTACAACTCACCATAGTCTTCATCCAGGTACTCCAGTCTCTCTGAAGGGTACTGAGAGTCAGCTATCTCCTCGTACTCCTCCACCATGCTGGTACCAAACACCCTACACACACACACACACACACACACACACACACACACACACACACACACACACACACACACACACACAGTGTTACATGGACAAACCCACCTACAGGAAGCTTCAGGGCCGTTATCAAACAGCAGGAGGAGGTGTGATCTTTTCTTTTGGGGAGAGGAAACTGTTTCAGTTCAGATTTAAAGAGGAGAAATGAAAACAGCTCAGTGATTGAGTCACTGTGTGGGTCGTATTTTATAAACTCTTCTTCAGAGGCAGAGATCTCAGTTTGTGAAGAGCTGATGTCAAAAATCGTGTTTTCTTAAGTTAAAGAAGCTGCAGCTTCTTCAGAGGCACTTAAACTTTCCCAGATTCCTCCTTCAGAAGATCCGGAGAAAATCTACTTTGACCTTCTAGTAAAAATGAGAGGGAGTGTTTTACAGCCCCACCCCCCACCCCCCACCCAAACACCCAAACACCCAACCCCCAACAGCACAGCAAGACCCTGATGACCCTGATGCTGTGGGACAGGCATGTAGCTACACGTGCCTCACACTCAGCACAATAAGCCTCTCACTGCGCTCACACACACACAACTGAGCTTTTCTGTTAATCAGACTGCTGCTGGACTCTGGCTCCATACATCACAGGGACATGAATCTATACGTTAAAGGATAAGAAACTAAAATCACTGCCTGGATTTGATAAGAAGAGGAACGAGAGAAGCAGAGGAGGAGAGAGAGGAGATGATGGAACAATAGTTCAGTATTTACACAGATGATCCAAAAAGGCCTTTTAAGAGAAAGAGGATCGGGACAAGCTTCTCCGTCTTACCTGATGAGACTGAGGGGACAGAAATGTTCTGATCCAAAGTGCGAGAGCAGCTCAACCTGCAGGGACAAGGGACAAAGTCTTAGACTGAAAACATCGTCCTCAGTTTCCCAACAGAGCAGATCCCACTGCATTCACCCACAATCCACCAAACACGTGAAGATAAATACTAACATTACCAAGCGGTGCGTGCATGCTCTACTTGTTTAATATCTTTCACATGCATTAAAAGATGCTCTGCCAAAGTTCACCACTTAAAGTATTCCACCATATGTGTGTTTCAAAGCACATCATGACCTCTGACAGAGAGAGAAGAGTGCTAACCTTTATGTACTTGATGAACATCTGAAGCGAGAGAAAGACAGGAGAAGGACAGAAGGAGAGAAATAAAACAAGAAAAAGAAATCAGTGAAGACTGATTCAAGCTACGAGCAAGTCAAGGATCTGGTTACAGTTCAGCTCTCACACCGCAAACACACTGACACGTTCAAGATCATCGTTCTGTAACAGGCGAGAAACTAAAGAGACGATTAACAAGAAGACAGAAAGGAGCAAGAGACAGAGACTGAGGACAGACGTGAGACATCAGGACAAGACAAGTTTAAACTGGTTGGATCAGAGCTCCTCCAACTTTCACACACAATCACTTTACGTAATAAAAACAGTTATTTCATAATAGAAGACATGAATCACAGTGAGCACCCACACGACACCCAGTCACCAATGAAGAGAATAATGGTCTGAGCACAGAGAGGACGAGTGAGGGGACAGACAGGCTTTCAGTTCATCACATCACTCATTCACAACACAGTGAAAACTCATGAACGTGTTGGACAATAACTGGAACTAAAGACGACTCCACTCAGTCAGACTGTGTGTCTCACGCTGTAACACACACACACACAGGGAACAACACACAGGTGTGACTGAACACAGAGCATCCATCAACAAGCTGCAGTCACAGCTCCGCCTCACACCTGGAGTTCAGACCCACACGCTTCTAATTTACCGTCTTGTTTAAATAGTAAATACACCTGCGCCCATCTGAGCACCCACGGGTGTTGGTCTTTCAACAAGGTGCGGTCAGGAGCAGGAAGTGACCGACCAACAGGAAGCTGCTACACGCACACACACACACACACACACACACACACACACACACACACACACACTTCCAGACTTCATTTGTCCCAGTTTCATAATGAACTGAGAGTTTTCACACTTCTCATAATAAAATTGAAAACATGTCTAATGTTGCCTTTGTAGAGCCGTGTGATTCGTTCAGCCCCTCAGGACCGGACTCACTGGTCAGGACGCGGACTCACCGGTCAGGACCGGACTCACCGGTCAGATCTGGACTCACCGGTCAGTCTCAGTATTTAATCGACTCTGTGACTCACTGTGCCGTTACAATAGTCCTACACTCAGGTGGAGGTGCGCCTGGCTTTTAAAGGGAAGGGGAGATGGCACTGTGATTGGTTAAAAACACTCCCATGAATAACTGAGGAAGTACACTAACACTAACACTTCTGACCCGTGCGCCTCGAGGAGCGACGGGTTTTTACGCCATAAAAATATCAGAGGTGACGCAGACACGCTGTAAATGCCTGTTAAATAGATCTCAGAGTTTTCGGGGGGGTAACTTCATCAGAGAGGTGAAGATAAAATAACACACTCTCTCTCCCTGTGTGTGATGCTCATGATCCTGCAGCCAACTCTTTAAAACCTAAAGCGAGAACGTAAACATCTATAATCCTTTACGGTCCCACGCTGCATCGTTCAATCTGCTACTGTCACCACAAGTTACATCATGACGCCCTGATGTGTATCTGCCCCACCCCGTCAGTCAGGGAGGGGGTCACAGGCAGCGCTGACATCATGGCTCATTTACCATGAAGTCATAAGGTCTCCGGAGTTTAAACACAGCTTCAACCACGTGTGTGAATGTATGTGTGTGTGTTTAACAGAGTGAATTCATTCCTTGTTTGTTCTTCTCCTGGAGACGTCGATGTTCTGTGGGAGCAGAGAGAAGAAAAAGGTCGTACCTTCACATATTTAGCGTAAAGCTGTTCGTCCAGTGGGAAGCTCTGGACGATGCGCTCGTCGCGGGCGTGGAACGTCCCCAGCTTCACCCACTTGTTGGTCGGATACCTGCAAACACAGCACAGGAAAAGTAAGACGCGTGTGTCCGAGCGCCACGCCGTACTTACGAGAGAAATGTGGCACGTTCTCCGGGGCCGGGCATGAACGCCTCACTAAGACGAGGAGTCTGTCCCGCCCGACAGATGTCTGACTTTACGAGCTGCTGGAAATAAATCCTGAGGGTGAAATCCCAAAAGAAGGACGAGACCAGGTCTGAGTGCACAGAGCCAGAGCTGATGAAGCAAAAGGAAGACGTGGCTTTAACCAGCGATGATGCTGTTTGATGAAGACCTCCCTTCATGTTTCTCACATCTTCACATTCAAAAAGCAACATGGGATGAAAAACTTATCTCAGAGGGAGAATATGTCGAGCACCATGGATCCATGTTTCTGGAACTGGCAGGTTAAAGTGTCGTGGGTGGAATATGAATACTGCAGAGCAGATCCACACACACTAAATGAATGGATCAATATTATAAGAAATATATTTATTATGGAAAGTTTGTCATTTTCTCTAAAAGACCAAAAATAATTTTTTTTCTGGCTTTGGTCCATTAAACCTGGAAGGCCAGGGGAAAGTAAAATGTGTCCCGTGTGAATAATTAAAGCTCTGGAACAACAACAGTACTAGAGCCTGGCTGTTAAATGTTCTTACTGTGCGTGACTGTATTTACTGTGAAACCGACACTGTGTGAAATATTAAGTGTCAAATGAAATTTGAATTTAAAAAAAGAAAAAGAAATGAATAACGTGTGACAATAAATTACATTTTAAAGGTGATATGTTGGTGCATTTTTATTTTACATAACTGTGTTAGAAAAGTGTCAGTTGACATGCAGCTGTGACTCCGTGACGAGCCGCTCTGCATTAATGATCCGTTAATCAGCTGCAGATGACAGTGTACTGGGACTGGGACTGATTAGCATACTGTGACACAAAAGACTCACGAACCCGCCTCCTATGAAACATGGCGTCCTGTTTGAATTAAACCCGGAGCTTCTGAGTGTTTGTGCACCTGGAAGAAACAAACCTGTCGCTGATGGAAACCAGGAAGTCTTTGGGTGTCGATGAGAAGAGCTCGAAGTTAGCGATGTCCAGCTGCTTGACTTGAATAGGTTCACAGAGCTCTATCACAAACCTGGAGACACGTTAAACAGAAGGTTCATTAAAAGACAAACAGATCAATATAAACGTCATATACAAACTGTCTGAGTCATTGCACTCACCAGATTTTGTTGCTGCAGGGATTCAGCATGTACAGGTCCATGTTTTCCATGAGAATAGCTGAAGTGCTCTGAGTAAGAGACAGAGGAGTGAGAGAGTGAGTGAGTCAGCATCCACCACCATCATCACGTTTCCATTCTATTTATTTAGTTTCTTATATAACACCCGTTTAACAGTGAACAGCCCTGAGGACAGTTAATGCTTCCGGGTTTGGTCCATGTGCTGACACAGTGACAGCCGTCTCCCTCGCTGTGTGAGTCTTTGTGCGTGTGCTGATGTGTGTTTAACCTTGGCCTCGTTGTTGGCAGACAGTATCTTGGCTCCACACTCCACAGACGCGTAGTTATTCTTGAAGTTTTTCTGGACCTTCTTCACGGGGTGGGGGCTGCCGCTGGCTGAGGTGTGGAGAGACTGACCTGGACAGAGGCAGCGTCACAGTTAGAGACTGTCAGAGAGAGAGAGCGCTGCCTGAGAGGAACAAGTGGAGAGGTTACGCAACACGCATAAACACACGCTCTGCTGACCACTGCACATGGCGTGCACAGGGAGGGAGAGAGAGATGGAGAGAGGGTGACAGGAATAGAACATGAGGAAGGAAGTAAAGAGACACACAGAGGTACACAACGCTCAGAAAACTGCAGAGTGAAGCACAAAGAAGCAGCACGATAAGAGCGTCTTCACGTCACATCAACATCCTCATGTTGTCTTTGTTTCCAGCTGTGAGAGCAACCAACTCACAGCGGTGTTTGGACTTAATGGGACACTGAGCTGCTGATGGGACGTCTCTCTCTCTCCATCTGTGGTTAGGGGGTTTAATAATGTATGACTGCACTTACTCTTCTCCTTCTCCACCTCCATCACTTGTTTCTTCCACTCGTCGAAGGTGGGGATGTCCTCTTTGCTCGGCACCGAGGGATCAGTCTCTCTGCCGATACTGGCCTCCCCCGCCTGAAACACACAGAGCTGCATCACACACACCGGCCCAGGACGACTGTACGACCGCACACACACAACCCCCGTCCTGACATGTTTATTATCTGATTTACAGCCGTAATGACCAAAGTATGATTTATTATTATAATATCAGTTTTCCAGTACCGGGGTTTACGTGTGGCGACATGTTTAATGTGTAAAAACAAACGTCCGACACAGACTGAACGTGCAGAAAATGATCTGTTGAATCATTTACATGGTGAAGCTTTTCTGTTTGTCCTGTTTGGTCTTTTAAACTGATTATTGATCAGAATCTGTCTCTGTGTAAACGGACCTACGACCTCCTAGTTACTGCAGCAGCAGAGAGTGTGACAGGTCTGATGGTGCTGACCGGACCTACACAACATATACATTAAACATTAAACAGCCTCCTGTCACAGCAAAACTGATACTGTAAAATGTTTTATTACCAACAATTATACAGAATATAAAGAGAAAATATTCACGAGGGGAGAGAGCGAGGAGAGAGCGAGGAGAGAGCGAGGAGAGAGAGCGAGGAGAGAGAGCGAGGAGAGAGAGTGAGGAGAGAGCGAGGAGAGAGAGCGAGGAGAGAGAGCGAGGAGAGAGTGAGGAGAGAGAGCGAGGAGAGAGAGCGAGGAGAGAGAGCGAGGAGAGAGAGCGAGTAGAGAGAGCGAGTAGAGAGAGCGAGGAGAGAGAGCGAGTAGAGAGAGCGAGGAGAGAGAGCGAGGAGAGAGAGCGAGGAGAGAGAGCGAGGAGAGAGCGAGGAGAGAGAGCGAGGAGAGAGAGAGGAGAGAGAGAGGGGAGAGAGAGCGGGGAGAGAGAGGGGAGAGAGCGAGGAGAGAGAGCAGGAGAGAGAGCGAGGAGAAGTGAAGGAGAGAGAGACGAGAGAGAGAGGAAGCGAGAGAGAGCGTGGAGAGAGCGAGGAGAGAGAGCGAGGAGGGAGCGAGGAGGGAGGAGCAGGAACTGGAGGCAAAATAAGTCACTGAGCCACGGTGGTGAAGACATCACATGGCGTGCGAGTGTGCACAGCGAGCACGTTGGGCGTGCGCTGGGAGACGGTCGCACCTCGTACACATCAGTTCAGATAAGAGCGTCAGCATGTGACAGAACGAGGCTGCAGCTGTTTCACTTCATTAGAAGAGAATTATTTCATTTGTGGAGAACGACTCTGTCCCGTCGCTGCACCCTGGTCACTGTGTGACCCCCCCCCTCTGTTCATGGTAGCCAGCTAGCCCCCCGGCCACTACAGCACAGAGAAGCACTGAGCTGTGAATAATATTTTGATGGATTATGTAATCGCCCTGTTGGACCTCACAAGAGTCTGAGAATAAAAATGCTCAGACTCAGACGCCTGTTCTGTGAACGCCTCCACACTCACTGCAGGTGAGCGGCAGGAACATACAAACACAGAACACACACAGGTAGAGTCCACCTTTAACCATCCTTCATCCTCAGTTGACTTCACTCGCTGCTTGAAACATTCAAAGCTGCCCTTTGCTGGAACAGCTGCACCCCCACTGAATATGTGTCTGCAGCATTGAGCTGGAGTAAAGACGAGGTGACGGCAGATGAACAGAGAGCGTCAGTGTCAGCGTGTGACACAGCGGAGCAGATATCAGCCTCCTGCACCACGCACACTGACGAGGGTCATCTTTGATCTTTGGGGTCGTTCCAGCTGCAGCACGTTTAAAAGCTACTCAGGCTGGTTTAGCGCCCCCTCCGCTCTATTAGCCAGGAGATTAATTCTGTTCAGATGGCAGGAGGCTTCCCGTCCTGCCTCGTACAGTGGATCAGAGAGGGCATGAAGGCGCTGAGAGTAGAAAAGATTAGAAACACCACGAGAGGCTCTACATCCAGATTCTGCTGGAGCTCAGTTAATAACTGAAGAGGATCAGAATCTACGTTCTACCATCCTCCGTCACTTTTAAATTACTGTTATTATTCTATAACGTCTTTTTTCCTGTTCCAGTGTAACCTGCATTGTTGTGAACATCATGTCAGACCAGGGGCCTCGACAGGGTTTGTGTGGTGGGTGGGGGATGGGGATGGGAGGGGGCCACTGCTCGACACATAAACCGTCTTGTTTATATTTGAAACTGAAAATAAACCTTGTTAAAAGAAACTGAAACTACGAGCTGCTGACCTGCTGTTCTTGGTGGTGGGAGGTGTTGGCCTCCCGGTCCAAATCAGACAGCCCATCCTCCAGCTGCTGCTGCTGCCGCCGGCGCTGCTGCTGCTGCTGCTGCTGCTGTTGTTTTTGTTGTTGTTGTTGTTGTTGCTGTTGTTTTTGTTGTTGTTGTTGTTGCTGTTGTTGTTGTTTTTGTTGTTCCTGGTCCACGTTGCCTGGAGCAGGCTGGAGCTCTGCTTCCGGACCAGAACTGAGACTGTGGTCTGACCGCTGGTCTTCTACGCCGGCGTCGTCCACACTGCAGTCCAGACACGGGGGCCAATCAGGAGGAGAGGGAGGAGGGAGGAGGAGAGGGGAGGAATAGGGAAGGAAGGGGGAGAACATCAGTAAGTGCGCAGTAATGTTGGACACATGATGCAGGTTATTGACAGTCCGTGGATGGGAGCAGGCAAAACGATGGAAAAAGGAAATGAAAAATAAAAAAAAGCAGAAGTAAGTGGAGAGCAAGGCCAGCGGTCGACGGATGCGCACAGCAGAGAGGTGCAGCTTGTACCTTCATTACCTGTCTCTGTGCTCTGATTGGCTCCTGGGGGTTTGAAACTCACCTGAGGAGAGGGCTGCCAAAAGGGGAGTTTTCACAGGTTGCCAGTTTGGGGGGAATGACCCCGCACTGTGAATCAGAGTGCTCAGCAAAGACAAAGCTGTCTACTGGGAATTCATCTCCTGCACTGGCAACCCGCACTGCACTGAGGGAAAGAAAGGACACGGCGTTTACCACACCTCCTTACACTGGGGAGGGTGGGGTGGGGTGGGGTGGGGAGGGGGGCACACAAGAGGAAGAGATCAACAACACAGAGCAGGAGAGAGGGAGTGAGGATAAAGAGAGGGGTGGATGGACAGAGGGGACGGAAAGGTGGGACAGACGTCGTGGTGGATTGAGGTTTTCTTCTCTGAACTAATCTCGGTCAAAGTTCCACGTCCTCACGGCCGATGCTCCACAGACAGGAAAACAAAAAGTGTGCACGTGTGAGCAGGTCCGTGTAACTTCACAGCGCTCCACCACCACTTCATGAAAAGTGAAATATCAGGACGTGAGAGCAGCTCGTCTTTTCTCTCAGTGACGAAACAAAACCAGTGGAAACAAACAGAAAACTGAAGGAAACCAAAGTTAACCAACAAAAACATCAGAGAATGTGCAGAACGAGACTCTGTCATGAAGAGACCCGGGTCGGGTTGAAATTGGCTTTAACCACCACGAGGTGAGAGATGTTCTACTGACTGTTCTGTGGTTAGAGCCAACCTCTGGCCCCCGACACCAGGTCTGGACTGAGGGAGGGGTCTGAGCTTACCCTGTGTGGGCTGGGCCGGCGCTCTGTGAGGTAGGTGTGTTGTCAGCTTCATCTGGGAGTGTGGCCTGGGTGGAGTCCAGGCTGGGGTGTGCAGCAGGGGCGTCACTGTGGATTTCTGCTTGGGCGGGGCCGTCTGTGGACACGTGGCCCTGTGCTGGAGCCGGCTCTGGAGCGGAGGACACTGGGGGGTCCTGGTCATGGTCCTGTGTGTCGGTCTGTAGGTCCGAATCAGTGTGGGGGGGCTCTGTTTGGGGTTGTGGCTCAGGAGCAGCGGGTACAGTATCGGACTCTGGGTCCGGCCTGGTTCCCTCCACCTCCGCCTCCTGAGGATTCACAGTCTGGAGACAGAGACACAAAAACATCCACATATAAAACATCGTCCATCGGCAGCTTCAGCAGCATGAGCCCATATGTCTGTGTGTGTGTGTGTGTGTGTGTGTGTGTGTGTGTGTCAGGAATCACACGTGAAACACACACACCTTCAGTTTGATTACATTTCTACAGCTTCACCACCGTTTACAACCTGAACCAGCTCAAGTTGATTCATCAAGTCCCGTTAAAAACACAGACCTACAGCTGGATGACACGTCACTGTAACTGTTACACTACCTTTATTGTGTGGGTGGTCAGTGTAATTCTACCTGTAGCACAGGTGTTACACTGGGAGCTGAGAGTCATCACGTCCACATCACTAATCACTGTTATTCTCTCTGTGAATGTGAGTCCGTCAGTCGTCCTCCTCAGAGGATGAAAAGCCAGTTTCTGTTTCTTTCTTAATTATAGTCCAGGCCCTTATAAATAGAACAATCTGTCTTTATTAACAGTGCAGAAGAATAAAGGATTGAATAGTTGAAACGCACTGATCTCATGTTGGTCTTGTTCACAAAGAGCTTTACAGCTTCTGTGACGACTTCAACACTCCTCCTCTCTCAGTGTTATCATTTCATCACTCTCTCTTTGTCTTTGTTTTACAGTCTTCACTGTTTCCTGAGTTTGTTTTCATTTATAACTTAATCATTTATCTGTGTGTGTGAGTGTGTTTTCTCTGATTGATTAGTATGTTTTAAACCTGAATGATTAGAGACGGGTGTCACCTGTTCTTGGTGTGTGTAGCTGTGTGTTTCCAGCTCTAGTGCTGCTCTCTCCGTCTCTAGTCCCATATCGTATGATGTGTGTGTCGTCCACTCGTCCACCTGGGGACACAAACAAATGATCCATCACACAGTCTCCAAGAGAAACCTCTTCTCTCCATCTTGAACAGTAATCAATCAATCAATCAATCAGACTTTATATGTAAAGCACTTTTCATACATACAATGCAACACAAAGCGAAGGCTGAAAAGCAAAGAAATGTATTTTGTATTTTGGTGAATAAAACCATAAATGAAAAGTTAGACATTAAAAATCATAAAGTAGTAAAGATAAAATAATAAAAGACTAAAAGAGAGGAGATGATTGGAGGAGAATAAAAACAAAAACAAAAGCAGTAATTAAATAAATAAAAGTAAAAATTAAAATAGATAAAAGTAGAATATTAAAAGGAAAACATTACAGAAAATATAGAATAAAATTTGAGTAAAGGTGTTCAGGTGTTCAGGTTTTCTGTGGACCACTAATATAACGCCTCACTGCAGGTTTTCATTCTGACTTTAACTAAAGCAGCAGACCTGAAGGTCCTGGAAGGTCCAGAGGATAAAACCTGAGGAATAAGAAGGACTACGACCATGAGGACAATAAAGTAAAACAATAATCAATCACTCATCAGTAAATGACAGACAGCAGCAACCATCAAACAGCTGGAGAGACTTTGTCAATAGATTGTGTTGATTTAAACAAATGCATTTTGTGTGTGAAAATGTCAGACGCAGAAGGTCTTTGCTTCTCCGGCTGAGAAAGAGGCTTTTATTGGACAGACAAAGAGTGTGTTCTGAGGCCGACCACAGACTGCCAGGCCGCTAACAATGACTCCCCTTCTTCTCTGCTGACACATGCATACCACACTACAACACACACTTCCCCAAATTATCACTCACACACACACACACACACACACACACACACTTCGAGGGTCCATTCATAAGAGCTGAGGGTGCCTGCTCTGAGCCGGCATCGGCCCACCTCAGCAAACCTTCCTTATGAGACGTCTCCTCTCTGAACGGAGGGAACGAACTCCAGCGACGGACTGACAGAGGATCCGTCTCCGTGGTTACTGAGACGTGAAGAAGAACAGAAAGGCTGAGGGGTGTGGGGGAGGGGCTTTGTGTCCTCTGAACTTTAACCTCAGCCTATATCACCACCATCGCTGTGACTTCTAGTACAGAGCGGACCGTGTTTCTGACAGCGACTCTTCATGTCACCACACGTTGACTTTACACAACAACATTGTGGCATGTAAAGGAAGAGAGATAAGATGCAGCCACCAACAAGTTTTATTCTTCAACAAAGACTTATGTAACACCCTCCCCCCACACACAGCCTGGCCTCCTCCTCCTCCTCTCTCCAAGCCTCCTACTTTTCACCAGGGGTTACTGGGTCACTAAAGTGCACCTCCCACCTCCCACCACCACCCTCCTGGTGTTATGCTAACTCATACATTTCATCATGCGCGGAGATCTAATTATACTGCGCACCACTGCAGCAGCTCTGTGAGCCACACTAACAGCCCACTGATCTGTGGGGGATGTGACGGGGAGGACACAGTTTCTTTTGAGACATTAAGAAGTCGGTGTCATTATTTGATTTGAATCTTCTGTTTTCCACAGACCTTGTGTTGCGTGGAGTCCAGCTCCTGCTCCTGCTCCTGCTCCTGCTCGTGGCCGACAGGGTTGTTGTCCCCGGCTGACTGACCTGAGCCAGACGAGCTCTGCTCTGAACAAAACACATGTTGACTGGGGTACCTGCAACAGAGAGGGAACGTTTGTCAGTCACAACTAGAAACACCTTATAACCCACTTCCTGTCCGCTGCCACAGGTTTCCCATCATGCACTGCTACTGAGCTCTTCACCTGCAGCGTGCTGGACCGGACCTGGAGAATTACTGCTTTTGTGTTGATGTTAACAATGAGCTGAGCGCACTGTCTTTCAGCACATGAACGCTCTGCAGTGACAGACTGACGGACGAGGCAAAATAAAGAGGGGGGGGTGAAAACCATCAGAGGTGATGTGAGAGAGGGAGAGAGAGAGAGAGACAGCTGTTTTAACTTTTTACTGATCCATCTTAATTATTTTATTTTCTTAATGGTTTTTAATTCAAAGGTTTGATTTCTGGTTGTTTTCCCTGTCAGAGTTTATTGGTTTACAGCTTCCTTGATAATTCAGACTTTGAGCAGCACACTGTGTTTCCACCTGGAATGAAATGTGCTGTATAAATAAAGTTTGAAATGAAGTCAAGAGTCAAACGAGAGGAGAGCGAAGGTCTGTCTAAACATGTTCCCCCCGCCATGACGCTACCTCACCCACTAACTCACACCGGGCGTCTCTGATGTGTGACAGTCAGCTGACTGCTGCAGAGCCATGAGACTCATTACAACAGATTGAATTAAAAACAAATTAAAAACAAAGACGCTTCACACGCCGACTCCTCGTCAGACAAAACAAGACCAGAACTGAAACCGATTCAGTTACTAAATAGTTCATGTACTCATGTATGCTGGTTCTATTATGGGGAACCACAAGCACCGACATGTGCACGGTACACCTGCTGAGACCTGAAGGCCTGTACACAGCGAGACTGTGAGTGTAACATCCAAAGACACAAAGCTGGGGAAGAAGCACCATGTGATTCTGAAACTGGAGCGCTCGAATACCAATGTCAGGACAGAGCGGGACACATGGACGCTCATGTTAGCGCCCTGACAGCCCGCCTGTCAAAGGGAGGGAGAGACGACCATCAGAGACAACCATCTGTCCCAGAGAGAGTCCTGTCACTCAGAGCGCGTCTCCGTCTGCACTCGCTTCATTAACATCTGAGCTGATTGGATGATGAGACAAAAGATGACACGAACACCTGGAGAAGAGAGAGAACCTTGTGTCGTACACGCCATCAGACTCAGGAGCAAAGCAGAATTACCGCCTTGTGGTCGTTTGCCTCCGCCGGCCTACAGGTCACAGCCTCCACCACTGTTCCCCAGGTACAGCTGAATAATAATACAACAGTATGATGTCACAGTGATGTGACCTTTGACCTTTTGGATATAAAATATCATCACTTTGTTATTTTATCTTATTAGACATTTCTGTGGAATTTTAATAATAATAATGAAGATAATGCTAATTTGTATTTTACCTTTCATACAAGAAACGACCTGCACCAGGTTCTTCACATGTTAAAGCTTTGATCTAAAGTTAAAACATTAAAAACATCAAAATGAGATAAAATAATGAATAAAGTAATAAATCATTCAATAAGATGTTTAAAGGAAAAACTGAGCAGCAGAAATGTGACGCAAAGTTTAAAGTTTCAGAGCGAGTTAAAGTGAAGAAACAAGTTTTGAGCTTTCTTTTAAAAACAGTTAGTGAGCTGCCTCTCTGATATCTATATCTATATCTATATCTATAGGTATCTATACCTGACATCTATAGGTATCTATAGGTATCTATAGGTATCTATACCTGACATCTATAGGTGGTGTGTTTGGACACCACGACGTGACATTTACCGCTGTCATCTTGGATCCCTGCTGATGATAAAATGTGTGCGTGTTCCTAAACGCCTCATAATATTCTTAGAGACTTCCCAGGAAGAGGCAGCTCAGGGCCACAGAGCCGGGGAGTGAAACTTAAGAGTGAACAGACCATGAGCTAATATAGGCTCCTGGATAATTTTAGATCCATAGCTTGAGACTATGTTGTGGGGAGGACACCCTCCACATGACACCACCTGAAGACACCACGGAGTTACATAACAGGCTGCTGTAATCATGAAATGCCAGAAAATCACACGGCCAACATGCAAAAACCCTGCACAGGAAACATTGTCAGTAATGACTTTATTTTTATTCATTTATTTATTTATTTGACCTCAAACTGACACAAATGTTTAAAAGTGAAACTGTTTTATAATCCATTAAATGAAGCATTTGATTGAATGACTCAGATAATGAGGGTCTGATTCAACGAAAGAAAGCGTGATCAGGTTACATGTTCAGTCATGTCCGATCTGCTATTTGCTCCTCAACAGGTGAAATCATGTCAAACAGCCGACGACACACCCAGAGATCCTGGCAGGTTACCATGTCAACCACAGGACAAGAGACGAGCCGTTCACAAGAACCTGGACACCAGCAGCAGGAATCGAGATGCAGCAACAAACACGTCTCTCAGATTCCTTTGAACCGCTCCCTCATATATAATAATATAATCTAACATGCATGTGTACCTGTGGCCTACCTGCACATATAATTCATTAATACCTCTGTGTTTTGTATGACTTAATCTCAGACTGTAGGTCAGTTCAGGATCCACGGATCACTATTCACACACAGAAAAACACCTTCCATTCATCCAAACTGGTCATTTTCAGTCACTGATCCGACATGTTGGAGTTCATCCTTCTTCGGTCAGAACTCTGCAGCTGCAGGACGAGTGTTATTAGTCTCATATCCTTGGCTTTCGTCGCTGTGCAGGACGCCACACAACCGTAGAACTGCTTCACAGTCATGGTCTGAATACTTTCATTATTTTATATCAAGGTCTCCGTGTTCCTGCATGTTCTCTGAGACCAGGTTTTAAACACTCTCAGCTGTGGGACCTGTGGTGCACGTCACGGTCTCCCTCCACACTGACTAACACTAAATCTAATAAAGGAAAATGCCCCAAAAAAAGTTGATGTCATTAAAATCCAGGAGTCAGAAGTGAGCTGTTCATGTTCTCAGACTTTGTGTTATTATCCTTTTTAAAGGCTTCAATCAGTCTGATAAGAGAACACTTGTGTAAATACAGGAGTGACACACACCACACAGTGCAGGTCACACAGTAAACACTCCTGTGTAAACTTCCGTGATGGTTCATGCAAATCTGAGTGACATCCGTGATGTTCATGGAAACTGCCGAGGCACAGATCGCTATTCAAATAATCAATATTCAAACACGGAGATTAAAATATGTGGTGCAATTAAAGACCATGAATGCCTCGTTCTTACTGAGCCACATGTAAACTGCCCACCCCCCCCCCACACCCACCCCCGCCCCCGTGTCATCGTCATGAATGAATGGAGAGACCTGAGTGTTGACATTCCTTCTGAAGGAGAGAAGAAGAAAAAAGGGAGAAAAGCTGCTGCTCTGAGAGGATCTGTGTTGGGGGGGGGGCGCACTGTGACCTACTTTAAATGGTTATACAACAGTGGGAGGGGGCACTTATGACCCACGAATGTAGAGAAAGGCAGAGAGCAACAGGAACAGAATGGATGTTTAAATGTACCAGTGGTGGGTGAACTGATGAAGGAGCCTGAGGCGAGACTAATGAGTCAGCAGCCTGCTCACACACTTCCTCATTCTCTCTCTCTCTCTGCTTCCTGTCCCACTTCAGGAGCACTGGGGGAGTTTAAACAATCTCTCTGTCCTTTACACCCCCCCTCTGATGACTGAACACCGTCCAATCACTCTGTAATATTCCTGTCAGAGCTGAAGTCCACATGATCAGCACGGACAGACGGACGTCTCCTGAAACTGTCTGTGCTGGTTCAGACAAATCCCCTGATATTTCCTGTTGGCTTTGGGACCATTCAGACTCGGGGGACAGAGACATAACTCGACCGAATCAACTGTACGGCACCGTACCAGCCGACTGCGTTAACACAACACTGCAGAGACAACAGGCTGAAGATAATTTCATCTGCCAGCAGCAGCTCAGATCTCGTCACCAGCTGCTGTAGAAACCTGCGCTCTGATCTCCGCTCAGGCAGGATGTTTGTCAAGTTACTGAAGGTTTTCACTGTGCATGACAACATGTGTGGGCTTGTGTGTGTGTGTGTGTGTGTGTGTGTGTGTGTGTGTGTGTGTGTGTGTGTGTGTGTCTGCCTGTAGCCTTAGGTCCTGCTCTCTCTGTTCAGACCTGGTATGAACCATACACTATAAATAAAGATGGACATCGCCTCTGTGACGTCATCCACAGGTTTCTGAAGCTCAGAGTGAGCTGCTTCACTGTCGCTATCTTGGCAGTGCCTGACTCCGCCCCTAAACTCCTGGCTAATCCAAAAATGGTCAAAGAGGAGGGGCTTGTGTAGAGCTGAGACTTGTGTGTCGGTTTGTGGCAAGCATACATTCCCGTTAACATCGTTAGCTCAGCTGGGTGTCTTGCTCGAAGGCTAACCCAAAGCTAATTCATTTGTTGGCTAATTAGCTTGCTAACGAGCTAAGCTAACAAGCCATCAATGGTGAGCGCAGACACTGATACCAGCTAATTAGAGTTTTACTCACCTGTAAAAACAGGAGCAGAACAGACAGCTAGCTAACTGTGACTGCACCCACCTGTCGCTCAAAGAGGCCACGCCCTCAATCCTCCATAACTGTAGTCCTTAATAAGATGTAAACAGGTGAGTTTTATAAACAGGTGTCATGAAGGAGGAAATTATCTTTAGAGACCAAAACAGTTTCTGTACCAGGCTGTAAACATGTTTATTTCTGCTGTAAAGTTGGACATTTTAACATGGGAGTCTATGGGGACTGACTCACTGTTGGAGCCAGACTCTAGTGGTCGTTAGAGGAACTGCAGCTTCTGGTTCTTCACAGTCGATGCTTGGTATTAACATCCGTCTCCAGTGTCCAATCACTAGTGGACAGCTCTATGTTCAGGTGTGAATGCAACCGAGACGCATTGAGGACGCAGACCACATGTCCAGGGCCACGCTGAAGGACCGCCTACTCTGACGTCTTCACACAGTCTGATTAGTCCAACAGT